GGGTAGATGAGAAGATCTGTATTTCCAACCTTGAAGAGGGCAACCAGTACAAGTTCTTGGGTGTTTTGGAGACGGTGAGGCAAGAGGAGATGATGTCGTTGGAAGGCGCAGCCAAGGAGTATCTTCGCAGAATGTCTTTCATCTGGTCAAGTCCCTTGCCTGATTACAATCTTGTAACAGCCTCGAACCAATTTGCATTACCAGCGTTGGGCTACCTGATGTGGACACAACAATGGCTGGTGGCAGAGCTTAAAAAGTTGGATAGAGAAGCTCCCAAGATATTTATTGAGAATGGTGAAAAAATCCCAGCGGATCAACTGCTATTTTATACCAGCCAAGAGAGAAGGGAGGGAGAGGCCTGCGTTCGATCGAGGAAGAGTGCAAAGTAACGAAGATAAAGGCGGAAGTGAAGTTATATAGTAATAGCGACGCAGCCATGGCGATGGTTCGTGAGTTTGAAGAGAGAGCGGAAGAGTTAGGACACAGTTCGTTAGTTAAAGAGGCAACAAGGTATGCAGATGAGATGGGTCTCCAGTTGCAGCTGGAATAACCATGTCCAGCTTGCATAAAACGTGATAGTGGTGGGGTGATAACAGCAGAGAAACTGAAGGTAGAGCTGAGAAAGGTTTTGGATGAGAAGACATGGGAAACGGTGCATGAGCAGAATTGGCAGGGGAAATTACTCTCTGCGTGGACAGAAGACGAGAGTCTTAACCTCAAAGGATGTTACTGGTGGCTAAGCGGTTGGAAACAGTGCCCAACACATACAGTGGCGGGCATGTTTGAACTCTATGAACAATTATTACCGACGAGGTTGGATGCCTGCCAGAAAACGCACACAGACACAACGGGTGAGGTGAGGTGCAGGTTATGTGGCAAAGCCCCTGAAAGTGTCGCTCATGTCCTGGCTGGTTGTACCGCCCTCGCACAGAATAAGTATCTAACCCGATATAACGCAGCGTTGAAAATACTTTTCTTTGAAATTCTGCACGACCTAGGCCTTCTAGAAACAGTCCCCCCTTGGCGCTCGCCATTGAAACCGAAGCCAGTATAGGAGGCCAACAATGCGCAAGCATTCTGGGACGTTCCTTTATTTGCGGAGCACCAAGAAGTTAGAGCCAACAGAATAGATGCGGGTATTATCGACCATGAATTAAGACGAGTCATTACGTTGGAGATGA